GCGCATAACGCGTATCGCTTATCGAAAACTCGAAACTCGAAAGTGCATAGCATATAGCGCATAGCGCATAACGCGTATCGCTTATCGAAAACTCGAAACTCGAAACTCGAAAATCGCATATCGCGTTATGCAGATAGCGCATAGCGCATAGTGCATAGCGTATAGCTCATAGCGCATAACGCGTATCGCTTATCGAAAATTCGAAACTCGAAAATCGAAAAACGCATATCGCGTTATGCACATAGCGCATAGCACATAGTGCATAGCGCATAGCGCATAACGCGTATCGCATATCGAAAACTGGAAACTCGAAAATCGAAAATCGCATATCGCGTTATGCACATAGCGCATAGCGCAAAGCGCATACCGCATAGCGCATAGCGCATAGCGTGTCGCGCATAGTGCATAACGCTTATCGAAAACTCGAAACTCGAAAATCGCATATCACGTTATGCACATAGCGCATAGCGATTAGCGCATAGCGTGTCGCGCATAGTGCATAGCGCATAGCACATAGCGCATAGCGCATAACGCGTATTGCTTATCGAAAACTCGAAACTCGAAAATCGAAAATCGCATATCGCGTTATGCACATAGCACATAGCGCACAGCGCGTAGTGCATAGCGCATAGCGCATAGCGCATAGCGCATATCGCATAACGCTTATCGAAAACTCTGAAACTCGAAAATCGCATATCGCGTTATGCACATAGCGCATAGCGCGTCGCGCATAGCGCATAGTGCATAGCGCATAGCGCATAGCGCATAGCGCATAGCGCATAACGCATATCGCTTATCGAAAACTCGAAAATCGCATATCGCGTTATGCACATAGTGCATAGCGCATAGCACATAGCGCATAGCACATAGCGCACAGCGCATAACGCGTATCGCTTATCGAAAACTCGTAACTCGAAAATCGAAAAACGAAAATCGGATATCGCGTTATGCACATAGCGTATAGCGCGTAGTGCATAGCGCATAGCGCATAGCGCATAGCGCATAGCGCATAGCGCATAGCGCATAGCGCATAGCGCATAGCGCATATCGCATAACGCTTATCGAAAACTCTGAAACTCGAAAATCGCATATCGCGTTATGCACATAGCGCATCGCGCATAGCGCACAGCGCGTCGCGCATAGCGCATAACGCATATCGCTTATCGAAAACTCGAAAGTCGAAACTCGAAAATCGCATATCGCGCTATGCAAATAGCGCATAGCGCATAACGCATAGCGCACAGTGCACAGCGCATAGCGCATAGCGCATAGTGCATAGCGCATATCGCATAGCGCACAGAGCATAGCGCATAACGCATATCACTTATCGAAAACTCGAAATTCGAAAATCGCATATCGCGCTCTGCAAATAGCGCATAGCGCATAATAATCCCATCACTCAGAACTCATCATAACCACATTATTTACATTTATCTCACAGACTTCTACACTACTTACTATTATTATTTGCAGGGCACACGGTAAGAGGACCAGACAAATGGAGTAAAACCCTGACCCAGTGGTATCCCAGGGACGGAAAAAGAAAAAGAGGTAGACCGCTAAAAAGATGGGATGACGACATCAAGCGTGTGGCAGGAGTGACGTGGGCCAGAGTAGCGCGAGAAAGGCATGAGTGGAAAAGGTTGGAGGAGGCCTTTGCCGAATGGCAAACAGATCTGCAGAAATTAAACAAAAAACTAATATTAGAACAGTAACTTATTATTTATGCTTTTCTAACTTTGTTTAACTTTTAATTTAATTATTTTTATTTTTATAACTTTAATGCAGAACTGAAATAAAGGCTATTTTATTTTATTTATTTATTTATTACTATTATTATTTATTGTTTATGTAGATTTAGACTGTATAGCATAGCATAGCATTAAAAAAAAAAGAAAAAAAATAGTTAAGTATTTTATTCAAGTTTCTTTACATCATTTGTATCAACATTGTCTACTTCTTAACTTGGCAGAATTTTATTTTTTCGAATATCAAAATAATATTCATAGCACTTAACCTTGATGACCCAAGGTGTTTAGAAAAAAAAATGATGTAAATTGTAAAAAATTGATTTTTTTTTATTATTATTATTATGTATCTCTACAGATACACTAACAAGAAAAGGGTTAATCTAATTTAGTCCTATTATAGTTTTATAAGCACTTTGCCCGAGCAACAGTTACACCGAAAGTATCCAATCGCTACGGAACTGCTGACTTGGTGTTGCGTTAAGAATTTTGAAACAAACACTCTTGAAGAACTTGTGAAAAAAGAGCCCGCAATCGATTCTTTTATCCAATTAATTACATATATTATAGATAGTTTAAAGTTATTTAATAATCCCACCATTCAGAACTCATAATAACCACATTATTTACTCTTATATAGCACACTTCTACTCACCTTATACTTATTATTATTGTTGTTATAATTATTATTTATTCCTTAGACTATTAGACTTAGACTGAAAAAAAAAATTTGTTTCTTTACATTATTTGTGTTAACATTTTCCACTTTAAATATAATTTTAGTTCTAATATAGCTTTATAAGCACTTTGCCAGGCAGCGGTTACACCCAAGTATCCAATCGCTACGGGACTCTGCTGCCTGGGCGTTGCGTTAATAATTTATAGTTAATTTAGTTTATTACTAGTTTTATTGTTTGTTCATGTTTATCCGTTTGTGTCTTAATGTTGCATGTGTTTCAAATAAAGATAATTTAAAAAAAACTTACCTACCTACCTATCTTCGGAGTAAATAAAAAAAACACACTTTTTCGGATTTCTTTCGATCACGATATCTCTTGGTGGCGATCGACGTGGTTTTTTAAGCTCAAAGACGGATTAGTTTTTTAAGTTATTAAAATAACGTATAATAACCAAATAATAATAATAGCGATGAGGAGACGAAATAAAACATTTGGTTTCACAAACAACGAGTATTTATGATCAGCTGGGATGGCGTCATGGCAGCAGAAACCAGAGTATGTATGTAGTATGTTTCAGTATGTTACAAAGTACTCCGTGCAGAGTGGGGACGGAATGCACTCACTCCGTCCCCACTCTGCAAATGAAATCGAACTCTCGAATCTCTGAAATAGACGGAGAAAGAGTGAGAGAGAAATAAAAACGCGGAGAGGGAAATGTAGGCATCACGCATTTAACTTTATCGACGAATTTTTGTTATTTCTGCTTGCGGAAATTATCAGATTGTATATTTTTCATTATTCTTGAATTATTTCCTTCAAAATAAAAAAAAATAGCTACGCTCGAGAATGTCAAGATGACGTTTTTTTTACAACTTTGTTGGCCTTCCCTTTTTTTTACTAATCTGATCCTGTATCGTTGATGGGCGGCCTTGTATATAGTCCTCATGTTTTGTGGTGGTACTTAACCGGATACAAGGTATCCTCCTATATATTAATCTGCCGCGCTTTAGTAAATCCCGATCTCCCCGCTTCGGCTCCTCTACTATATAGTTTGTTACCTTGCAGGCACACAGCTCTGGGAGTTGTTTGTGCTGTACATCGGTTACAAAGAAATGTTTTAGAGTAGGCTTTTTTCTTTATTTTTGTATAATGCGACTCGATTTGTCCTGTTAATCTTTTATGACCTCATCATCTCTGCCTCGGCGCAGAAACATCAACTGACACACAGATATGGAAAAATAAAACAATGTGAGAACACAATAGGAAAATTTATTTAGTCCGAACGAAGGCACTATCTTAGGTAAGAAGGCACCTGTCGGCCGATGTCTGTCTAATCTCATGACCATACAATAAATAACGGTTTGTGAGAGAACAATGTCGAGGGAAGCGGCGCGGCGTGTCGCGACTTCCATGTTATTATATTATAATTGTGTGCGAATGGGCGTGGGCAGGGCGCGGGC